TGTTAGCCTTTACCAAAGGGGACGGCCTCCCTTAAATGACTTTTTTTTTTTTTTTAAAGCGTGCAAGTTTACCGGTGAACAGTGAAACGGCTCATGTGTTTTACGGATGACAATTTCGACACGTGCACATCGACGGGGGGGGAAAGGCGGCGGGCATTTGCTGAGCCCCTAACCCGTTCAGCCGCTTTGTTGTTCATCTCACCGCGAAGAGAAGAAGCGTGGCATCCCTCACAACGCGAGGCGACAAGCGTGAAGGGGGGCGCCGTAGGGGAATTGCACTCAGGAGAGACTGCGCTCTCAAAGGGGAGTGTATTCCCTCAAGTCGACGTAAAATTTGCTCACTTTGTGTGCGCCCCCGCCGCAGGGGTTAAGGGCGGTCAACCAGACAACCGGGCAGGTGGGAAGATGGGTAGCTTATCCAACCGGGGGGAGGGGATAATGTCGGACAGACAGACGTGGATTATCAAACCAACCGTCACCTTTGGCTGCTAACTATGGGCGAAATTAACCCTTCTCAAGTGAGCGCCACGTTTATCCGATAATCATGCGTGGGGGCGCTTTCGCATAATTAAGTCATAGAAAAAGAAGGAAAAAGAGGGAGTGACTATATTGATCGCGAAACAACGAGAGTGTGAAAAAAACTTCGCTATGGGAAGACTCTCACCTCACCGTTTTGTGCACCTTTCACGCGACGAGGGTAACATGGCTGCACAACAGACTGGCCAGGAGTGGTCTCGTTTTAGCATTTCCAACCTACTTATACAACGCCCAAAGGAGAAACAACACGTCACACAGTTGCGCATACTTACGCGAATCCGATCCCACCCATTGTTTTTCCCCAAATGGACGTTACAAATATGACCGCATGCCGACGTGCGCACCATTCTTAGGAAGCATTTCACCTCCATGCATCCACGTGGAAACAGACCAGCTAAATAGTGATGTGAAAAACCTGTCCTATATGATCACACCCAAAACGGGGATAACGCAACGGGTCAGTCAAACACGGGATGGCTGGAGAGACCTTCTCTTCTCCATGGGATGATTCCCTCACTGTTGACCTGACCTCATCTTAAGTGACACGACGATGTAACCCTTTAGCTAGCGATTAATATGACCAAACAAATGCACATGGAAAAAAAAAAAAAAAAAAAAAAGAAAAGAAAAGAAAAGAAAAACGTCGACATTAATTACCTACCTGTAAGAGAGACTCTATTTGTGTCTTCCGAAATCACTATGCACTGGGTGTCTGTGCAGAAGGAACCTCCCCCTTCGTTTACAACTTTTCAAAGTAACGTACAGTTCACTATATCACTTCACGCGTGATAACAGTTGAAAGGACCTCTTTGCTTTATCGCACCTTGGGAAGCGCATGGTCATCATGGGAGATGGGGTTCACCTCCAGCAAAGTGGCATCATGCGCACACCGTTTGTTCCTTTGTATGCTTCGTAACAGGTGCGCATACGCCAATTGGGGCGGCTCCCTTGGAACACGTGCGAAGTCGTGGAATCTTAGCGATGTAGGAATCACCCCGAAGGGAAAGCAACTTGCTCATTTTGTTCTTTTGTTTTTTTTTCTCCTCATCACCCAACATGATCACACCACTGCACAACTGCGCCTCCGCACCAGTGGCATAACTGCGCGCCCGTGTGGGCCCATTTTTATGGCGGGGAAAAAATACCCAACTTGCGAGAGCCTCCTCAGGGTCAACGAAATGATGATAACAAGGTAAATTAAAATTTGACCATTCGTATTCATCAAGTTGTTTTACGTTCAGTTTGTTTTGCTCATCATAGGAGGTTCAACCATAAAAATGGAAGGATCAACGAAAAAAAAAAAAAAAAAGAAAAAAAAAAAATTAAATATATATTTTTACTTCGCCCGACTTCTTAAAAATTGCGCCTACTCCAAAAATGACGATCAAAATGGTGCCAAAAAATGGAACGAAAAAATCGCCCCGCTAGCCAAAATGTCACATCACTATGAATATATCCCATATCCCCATTCTTAGGTGAGGTTGCAGCCCCGCTTTTCCTTTTCTTCCCTCCTTGGTGCGGACAAAAAGAATTCCGGAAAAAAAAAAACGGATAGCCAGAGTGGGCATACAACCCTCCGTACTGACATGACAGTATATTCACGCAAGTGCTGTATGCTCGAAGGATCTCTCATTTGCCGCTACCTCGACGGGGGGCAAAGTGAGTGGCGGCCGGTAACGACAGGACTCCCTCGGACGAAGCGCATCCAAGTTAGCAGCCGCGGGAAATCAACAAAAAAAAGAGGCAAAAAAGGGGCAAAAAAGAGGAAAAACATATCAAAACATAGCAAAACGCACGTTCATTCTAGGCGCCACTTTTTTTTGACCACTCTCTGAAAACGCCCCCAACCTTCGCGATCGACCATCTCAAGGGGATATTTCCCCTCACTACCCTGCAGAAGTAACTCGCGTATAGGGGATGCCCATGTTCCACGCGAAAAAGATTTACGTTGCTATGACACACATGTAATTATTTCCCCCTCTGCAAAATCCTTCGTTCCTCGAGAAAGTGACCAGTCGAGCAAAAGAGTTCCTCATTTTGTAGAGAGAAAAAAAAAAACCTACATCCAACCCACAGTAGATCTTCTCCGCACAAGAGGTGGATACCCCCGCCGAGGGACTAATGCATATAAAAACAGCTTGGCTCCCCGTTTTGTGGAAACCTTCCCCTCTTGACAGTCGAGATTAATCACTTAGTTATGAAGGGAAGGAGGGGGGTACATAACCATGGGCGGAGAGGGTGTTAGTGGAATAAAAAGAATCCACGAGGGTTTCTTTGCAAACCAACGGAGATTTTTGCCTGAACAACTCCATCGCGTGGTGCATCGCTCCATCCACAGACAAACATGCCAATGTTACACATATGAAGGTGCGCGCACCTTCGAGTAGAGCCTTCCCCTCCTGCAACCGTTTGGCCAAGGGGACTCCTCACCAGAGGAGCTGAACCTACAAAAATGAGTGATTCGTCCGATGAGGAAGAGCCCTCCGGGGGGATAACCCACAAAGGTGATAAGTCAAGGAATGAAAGGAGAAAGAGACAAAGAGGGGAAGCAAGGGAGAAGAGGGGCACCAACAGAGGAAGGCGCGCGAAGAGGGAGGCATCCTCCTCATCGGCCGCTTCATCTTCCGCCCGATCGGTGAGCTCCCCTGCCGAGTCCCCCGACTCCGTGTCATCTTCGCCGACAAGCGAGCGGCGCAGGGGGAAGAGGCGGAGGAGGCACGGTCACAGAAGAAGTGGAAGCGGCGAAAGAAGTGGAAGCAGCGGCAGATCCTTCTCCAGTCGCAGCGGTAGTAGCAGCAGAACCTTCTCCAGTCGCAGCGGTAGTAGCGGCAGAACCTACTCCAGTCGCAGCGGTGAAGAACGGGTACGGACGAAAGCCAAGCGAAGGAAGGCGCGCCGAAAAGAGAAAGATGAAAAATCACGCCGCAAAAAGAAACATGGACAGTCGCACCGCAAAGAGAAAGATAAAAGATCACACCGACGCAGGAAGAGCAAACGTGAGAAACCTGTTTCCCCCTCCCCCCGGCGGAGAAACACCCTCACTGTTAGGGAACTCAAGAGGGAGAGGGAAAATCTGATGCAGAAACACTTCAATTACACGGACGAGTGCAACCCCTTCGGAGACAACTCGCTCTCCACACCATTTGTGTGGAAGCTAAAAAACAAGTATGATCAGATAAAGTATAATCAGAAGGTGAAGGTAACCACAACGAGCCTGCTCCACAATTCCCTCTCAAAGATAAGTGAAATTGAAGAAGTAAAAAAAAGGAGACAAGATAGAGACAACGAGAGGGCCTTGTTAGAAGACTATCGCTTACAATTAGAAAAGCAAAGGAATCAAATTAACATCAAAGAATACCTACAAAAGGAGCAGATGTTTTTCATTAATCAGCAGATTAAATCATCGGACAGCAGAATCCAGCACAACCTTCTTCAGCTCCCCGACATATTTAGATTAGCTGTGATGATTGTTAATCGAGAGAAGGTCAAGAAAGTTCGTCCCGCTCTTTACCGCATTCCGTTTCATGTCCTTTTGGAGGGTAAGTTTCACGAGAAAGGGTTAGGGAAGCAGAGAATGGAGGGGGGACGAGGCAACACCCCTCCTGTAGCGGTAGAGGCTGAGATGGCGTGACACGAAGCCAGGTCCTGTTCCACGCAGATGCTCGGAGAGAAAGGGCCCACATTAAGATATAACTCCGTCATGTCAACTGCAACCACGTCATGTTTACTACAACCCGACGAGGCGTGCCCCACCAGCCGTGCCCCACCATCCGTGATGATGTGAAATGAAGAAAATTGTACATTTGCTAGAGCAGAAGGAAAAGAGACACATGTTGATCCGTTACGTCTGAGAGGTGGTGTCACGGCAGTGGAGGAGCAACGCCCTGGAGGAGCCATGCCCTGGAGGACTTCTCCACACACACACATCCATACACACATACATGCATGCACACCCACCCAATGTGCAGGCCAAACCGAACGGGAGCTGGAAAACTGCGCCAAACAAATAAAGCTACTCCTCCAACACGATGAGCTAGACAATCAGGGGAAATTTAAACGTTACTGGGAGTCTCTCCTCTTCTTCTGTGAATACTTCCTGACTCAGTTACGCGGGAGGGAGAATCCCGACACCGACTCAAAAGAACACGACGTGAACAACATAGAGACAAAGACGGAGAAGAAGATACAAGCCTTCCTCGAAAATAAAAACTACGATGAGTTAGTGACATATGAAGCGAAGATTAAAGAGAAGGTCATTTCCCAATCTGAGGATGTCGCAGATGAAGTGTACTGGAATAGGGTCCTCCTGAAGATCCCCTACTTTAAGGCCAAGAATGTACTGCTCCATTTCCATGCCAAGCTGCGCAAGAGGATTAGCCTCAGTGGTGCCCCCTCGGAGGACAGCCAAAGGTGCGTTTGGTTCCATATATTCTCATATGTTCGCATCTCTACGCATCTCTTCGCATGTACCTTTTGCTCTTCCCCCCCGCCCCCACTGTCGATACCATTCCTCTTCTAACCCGAGGGCAATTCATTCACGTACTGCTTCGCATACAACAGCGAGTAGTAAACTAAAGAATTGCTAAATCAATCCGACGCGGCTGCCTCGGCAACAGAACCCATTTTCCTCTAGTTTTGGAAGAGGCAGTCACGTTACAATATAGCCCTTTGAAAGGGGTCACCCGGGATGTGTGGGGGAGGGTGATCTCTCCCGTGCAGTCCATTGCGCATTTCTTTTTTTGCGCCCCTGTTCCCGTACCTTCACACGCACATGGTCGTGAATTTTCGCTCCCTTCTTCCTACTTGCAGCGACAGAGGCAGCCATAGCAACAGTCACAACGAAGCTGAGAAGGAGCCTCTCCGTGAGCACTCCGCCGAAGAGGACAAAGGGAGAGCTAAGGCAACAACCACCCTGCCGTTCGAATGCCACAGCCCGCAGCTAATCCCCCCTGAGAGCATCACACAAATGGGAATCCCAGCCGAGACGCACATTTACACAGCGGAAGAGGAACTGCAGCAGAGGGTTAAACTGAACGATGACATTTGGTGTACAATGAGGAGGAGGGAGCAAAGCCAAGGGAAATCAGACAACAGTAGAGGAAACCATGGGGATAGCCATGCAGACACCACGGGGTACTTCAAACCCGAGCAAGTCGCACACACCGATGTGAACCTCTCTGCGGAGCAGGTCCTCCTCAGGAAACTCTTCACGAAGGACCAAGAAGTATATAATCGCTTTGTGCAGAGGGAGAAGAAGAAAGGTCGAGCGGGCGAAATTACAATGAAGGACGTTTCTCACCATCACCACAGCGCAGCTCACTCCTCCATCCCGAACTCCTTACGGAGCAGCCTCCCAGTGTCCCAAGCCTCCCTCCTCGCAACCAGGAAGCCTCTCTACTTCAATCGAATCAAAACATCCTTCGACTGGAATAAGTACAATAAAACACATTACGATTATGAGAATCCCCCCCCCAAGTATATATGCGGCTATAAATTTAACATTTTTTATATGAATCTTCTGAATAAGAAGGAGAAGCCGTCGTGGAAGCTGCACCCTACGGATGACGAGAGTAAAGTCCTTATCGTTTTCCATGGCGGAGCCCCCTACCTGGACATAGCCTTCCAGATCGTAAACGCGGAGTGGTCTTACGACAAGCACAGGGGCTTCCGCAACGTCTTCGACAAGGGCATCCTTCAGCTGTACTTTAACTTTAAAAAGAAGAGGTATCGCCGGTGAGCAGTGTTTAGAAGTGGAGAGTGATCCGTGGTGATTCGCAGCGATTCGCAGCGATCCGCGGTGATCCGTTCATTTGGACCGCTCGTTTGAGGCATATACGTCCCTTTTTTTTCTCTTTTTTTTTGTCCCCCTCGTCCCGTTTGTAATTTTCATCGCTTCCACCATTTTTACAATTTTTTTTTTTGTGTTTTTTTTTTTGTCCACCGTCGAATTGTCCATCGCGGGTGGCCCGCCAACCCATATGATTATATAACCGCGTAACTTCTCTATTCCCTTTTTTGCAACATCCGACCGGCCGATCGGCCACATGACCCATTTAAAAAAAAAGAGGAGAAGTTGGATTATAATGCCATGGACAGAAGAAGTACATGCTGCATTATATTTGCATCATCTCGTCCGTCGGAACAAAACCCTCCGGGGATGGAAACGATAAAAGGGATCCAGCTGCAACGGGTGAGATAATGACTCACCTCTTTTTATGCTCTGCCAACGACGCTACAAAGAAACGGTTTTCCAAAATGGGCGCCATGTTTTTCCCTCCGCTGGGTTACATATGCGAAATGTGGGGATATATTTTTTTTTTCCCCATGCATCAATTACAAGAAAAAAAAAAAATATTCCCCCGTCGTGGTGAGCCATAGGGCTGGCTATTTAAGAATAACGTCACAGCGATGCCAATTAGAAGAGGCGTTACAACTTTCCGAAAAAGGACGCGTTACAACATTCCAAAATATTATACAAACCCTCTCGATGATACATGTCACCATACGAGGAGGAAACCACTTTTTTGACGTCGTTTTGCCGCTGCAGAGCGGAGTTGACTCGTTCGGAAGGGCCGCGGGAAAGGATAAAGCATCCACGTCTAAGAAGTCTTGTCGCGATACTCACTTCTTCGATTGACCGCTTTGGCCTGTGGCAAAACCAACGCAACGATTGAAGTTTTTCTTTTCTTTTTTTTTTTTTTCTTTTTTGCAAGTTCGCCCAAGCAGAGAAAGGGACGTCGAAGAATAGCTCTTTCTCCATTGTTACTCCTTCACGTCTTAACGTTAAGAGGGTAAAAGGATGAATCCCCCGGAGGATTACGTGAACCAGGAGAATGGAAACTTTGCCATTAGGACGAACGAACATCACTATGGCAGTGACGGCGGGGCTGCCACGCAGAGGAGGGCGGAAGGGTACAGTTCAGGTCTATTCCCCACTGCTGGACGTATGATCGATGAAGCGGCCATCCCATTTGATGGGACCCATACGGAGGGAAGGAGGGCCCCACCGCAGCGCCCCTACTGTGAAGTGAATGGCAACGCAAGTAACCACATGAACATCTCGAGAGGGAGTAATTTCCCCTCGCATGCTTATCCCTCTAACCGATTTGGCCGCTCACGCTACCGAGTAACCAGAGGTGGACGCTCAAATGGAAGATTCTTTTTTGCAAATAAAACTCTCTATGTGGCAGCGCCGCGAGGTAGGGAGAGCCCTCACCAGGGAGAGACAGCCGCGGTGCAGCGTGATGCCTCTTGCTTTATTAACCATTCCCAGCAAGGGAACGTCCGTAAGGGACAAAAGAGAAAGTGGACTCAGGTGGCTCCGGGGTGGGTCCCCACCGAAGAGGAGGCCTCTACCAGCGATAATGACTGCATCAAGGGGGAGCAGCAGGAAGGGGAAGAAGCAGGAGAGGCAGCAGAAGTAGGAGAAACAGAAGAAGAAACAGACGCAGAAGCAGACGTAGAAGCGGGAAAACCCCTGAGCCAATTCACCCACGCCAAAAAGCCAAGGCGCAAGTCGTACCACGAAATAAAGTGCAACATATTGAAAGACGCAGCTGAGTATTTTAAAAATTGTCGAGGGGCAAGGACGGCAGCCAGCTCCGAAGAGGAGAAGGAAGAAGAGGGAGAAAACGGGAAAGACGGAGGAGACGGGAAAGATGGAGAAGACCGAGAAGGCGTAGTGCCGAATCATCCACAAGCACCCCCCGGAGCACCCCCCCTAAGCGCAAACCTCTGCTGTGTCTGCCAGATTAACCAACACAAATATAAGTGCCCCTTCTGTGAAGCGCTATCCTGTTCACTAACCTGTGCAAAGGAACACAAAAAATTAAAAAAGTGTAAAAATAAGTTAAAAAAAAAATTGAAAATAAACAAAGTGGCGAAGCAGAACCTCGACGAGAACATGCTACACAGAGACTACATCTTTCTTCATGGGGTGGAATCAATCCTTCACGGAAACTACCGATTCCTTAGGATAAAAGAAAATGAGACGACAAACATATGGCTCTACAGTTATAGCAAACTAACTAGTGTCTTGAAAAAAAGAAGAATTTTTTTATTCAAGGCACCTCTGTACACGAAGCTGCATCAAGGAAATAAAACGACCATTCGACATGACAGCATTTTCTGGATGGTGAAAGTCACCCTCGTGAATGACTGCCTGTTTGTGACTCACCAGGACGTCAGCGAAGATACGCCCCTTTTGCAGCTCCTCAGCATGTCCCTAGAAAAAGTGGAGAAGAGGAGAAAACCCCTCCGAGTTAACTACCTCGATAATGTGAATGCCATACGTGTGTCGCTCAACAGTGTTGACATAAACAAGGGGACCAAAAAGGAGGACGCCTTTTTTTCCGTTCCTCTCACGGTTCGAGAAGTCCTTCGTGGCCAGGCGTTTTATGAGTACCCGCACCTCAGCTTTGAAGTTCTCTTCCGGGATGGATCGCCCGTCGAGAATCCCGCGTACGAGGCGGCCATGCGCCGTCAGCAGAAAGACCATGTAGTAGCTGAGGAGGGGCAGGCCAACCAGCAGACAAACCATGTAGTTGCTGAGGGGAAGACAATTGAGGACATTAACGAAGCCGCTGAGGAGGGGCAGACAAACCATGTCGTTGCTGAGGAGGGGAAGACAAACCAGCCAGTTGATGAGGAGGACAGCTCCAGCCAAGCGGATGCTTCCACCGCCCCCATCTGTGATAAAGAGACCAAGGAGCAAACACACGTGGGGGAAGAAGCCACAGCCCCCCTCCGCGAGGATGAAGATGCCTCTCCGCGCGGGGATCCATCCTAAGGGCACTTCTCCATGTGCAGCAGGAGTATTTTCCGCCCCTGACGTTTGTATCTCCACCGAGTTGCTTCACTTTTTTGTAAACCGTAGACTATCCCTTTTATTTGTTTCAAATTGGTTCCTATGTGATGGGGCTCTACTTTGTCGCTTCTCACTCCTTCGGAGTCCCCACGTGCAGGTCCAGTGCACGTCGCCCGCCGTTAATTGACTTTATGTGAGCGCGTAAAGAGGGGGCGCACATCGGCGTGTGGCTCTGCATCGCATCCCTGTTGTGTGTTCATTTGCCCCCCTCCACAATTCACACAACCGACTTAACCGCAAAATGCACAACTCACCATTTCGATTGCCACCATGCTGCAAAAAAAAAGAAAAAAAAAAAAAAAAAAAAGCGACTTCCTTCCCCTCCCCTTTTTTAACCACGCTCAGATGTGGACCTCTCTGGAGGAAATTCCCCGCGACGACAGGGCGAAGAGGCGTGCCTTGGCTCCTTAAAAAGGATTCACAGGAATAAGCGCCTCCGCAAGGGAAGGAAAAAAAAACAATTAAGAAGGTAAAGAAATAGAGACGAAATAGTGGCGAAATAGTGGCGAAATAACGGCGAAATGGCAAAAAGGACTGCGCTACCCCCTATGCGCATACTTTTGAGACGCCACGGATGAAGGGACCCCCGCTTGGGGGGGGAAGAGTACGAACCGGCTGATTTTCACTCATCGGGTGTTCCCCAATTGAGGGAATGGAATCGAATGGAAGGGGAAAAAAAAAAAGAAGGGGAAGCTGTGGGGATGTGCCATCGGGGGTTCTTCACACGCTGTGCTGCTTCTCCTCTGTTTTTCAAGGCAGAATGGTGGCCAAAATAGGAGCCTTTTCTCCTTCTCTGTTCCTCCCCCAGCTTCCTTCATTTCCTGCTTCCTGTCATCCCTCCCCAAATGAGTGACTCCGTGGCGCGGAACTATGAAGACTCGTACGCTGGTGCTGCTGACTTGGGCGTTCCTCTTCCTCTGCAGGAGGGGTGGCCGCATCGGAAGGGTTAGAAGTGTTAGAAGCGTCAGAAGGGTCAGTCGCGTCAGATGGGTCAGTCGTGGTAGCTGCACTGGTTGTGGTGGCTTAGCACGCAGGGGGCCGCGGCGGGGCTTTCTCCCCGTGGAGAAGAATTCCAAAGGGAGCTACATAAAGGAGAGTTCCCCTCGCTGGCGCCACCCCCAAAAAAGGAGCCACCTAAACAGCGCCAGCGGAGGCGAAGGATTTTCAAATACCATACATCATGATGTGAAGAAAAACACACAGAACTACTCGGAAGATGGACCCCCCGCGTCTTTCCATAGATACATTGAAAACATGAAGACAAGAAAAAATGTCCATCCGAGTATACGAATAACCGAATTTGACAAAAAATTCATGAGATGCAAGGAGAGTTACAACGGGAGGTACTCTCACCTGAAGGATAGCGACTTGTTTGGAAACTTCCGCTTCATAGGGAGACAAAAAAAGGGCATCATGTCTCCGAAGTATTATTTACCCAAGTATGTAGAGAGGCCCAATTACCACCGGACGGGTACGCCTGTATATGTGCCCTACGAGGGTGAGGGACAAATCAGCGGCAGCGGAAAGGGGAGCGAATCCGCTAAACACCCCTATAGCAATATCAAAAGTGAGGAAGACATTGAAACGATTAGGAGCAATTGTCTCTTCGCGCGAGAACTGATGGACGACGTGTCACATATCATCTGCGAAGGAGTCACAACGAACGATCTGGATATTTACATCCTCAATAAGTGCATAAATAATGGGTACTATCCCTCCCCTCTTAATTACCACCTCTTCCCCAAAAGCTCATGCATATCGATTAACGAAATACTCTGCCATGGAATCCCAGACAATAACGTCCTGTACGAAAATGACATCGTCAAAGTAGACATCAGCGTTTTTAAAGATGGCTTTCACGCGGACATGTGTGAAAGTTTCCTCGTTCCGAAGTTAACAAAAAATGAGAAAAAAAAAAAAAAAAAAATTCTACGATTTTATATACTTAAATGATAAGCTCCGGACCAAGTACACGAAGTTTATTTTGAAATACAACTTCGACCTCACTACTAATAAAGTCGTCAAGACGGGGAAGCAATGCTCCATAAGAAAAATCAGGTACGACCCACCTAACTCAAAGGATCGTCCGACTGAACAGTACCAATCCTACGACGATAATACAAATGCAGTGCTTCGTAGCGGCGAATTCCAGGGGGAAGCAGTTACACACGATGAGGGTTACTACAACGCGGGAGGCTCCTTCCCCACCGATGAGGCGGCTAATGGAGCGGCGAACCTGTCCCGGGACGACCTGTCAGGGGATTACTTAGATGAGCTGGAACTCTTCCACCGGCAATACGACGAGCAGGTCATATACAACAAACAGCAAAACAGCCAAACGTATGATGACATCCAGAGTTACATATATAGAAAAACTAGGGGGCCGCAAAACGACCAGAACAGGTTCGCCTTCTTCGACAAAAGGAAGCTTGACGTGGACGAATTCAAGACGTATATGCATAAGAAAAATATGGATCTCATAAGAACAGCGCATGAATGCACCATGGAGGCCATTCGCGTTTGTAAGCCAGGGGTCCCTTTCAGTGCCATAGGAGATGCAATAGTGGACCACCTAGAGAGGAAAAATAATCACAACACACACTATGCAGTGGTTCCCCATTTATGTGGACATAACATTGGAAAAAATTTCCACGAAGAACCTTTTATCATTCATACACGAAATGACGACAAGAGACTGATGTGCGAAAATCTCGTGTTTACCATTGAACCCATTATATCTGAGCGACCCTGTGACTTTATCATGTGGCCGGACAACTGGACGCTGTCCAATGCCAGGTATGTGTTCTCCGCTCAGTTCGAGCATACCATCGTTGTGCGTAAGGACGGCGCGGAGATCCTCACGGGGAAGACGGAACGCTCTCCAAAGTTTGTCTGGGAGTGCGAAGCGGCGTAGCGTATATGACAGGGAGAAGCAGACGGAGACGGGTAAGAGGTTCCCACACAACACTGATCGATCTGCATATCCTGTGTTTCGTCGCAAACACGGACTCTTTTTTCCTTCTTTTTTTTTCTTTTCTTTTTTTCCTTTTTTTTTTGTAACGTTTTTACTTCGCTCCACGCGGCGAGAACCCCTCCCACAAGGTGGACTTCTTCACCTCGTGAGCGACGTTCACGTCCTCTGCACTGCTCGCACGTTGAGCACACAACGGGGGGACAGAAGGCTGCACAAAAGTACACCCGCCAATTGAAGTGGCTCCAATACAAAACGAGAAACAAACGGGGGGTACCCCCATTTACATGCGTCGACCCCACGTCCCCACTTCGCCAAGTCGTATGTTTCTACTTCCGACCCCTTACAACACTTCACCCCCCATGCATGGTGGAGCTAGTTCAGTTCGGCTCTCCGCGCGAACACAGAATGATGCTTCTTCCAAAATGGAAGGAAAAAAAAGTGACAAATGACGAATGACGAATGACAAGTGAGAAGTATGGGCAGATAATCACAATGCATGCATACACGCACGAATGTCCCTAGGTATGCATGCCGTTGTAAACCTCGTTGAAAGGGGGGGAGGAGCTTCGCATAACGATTTGTCGCGTATGAATGGCACCTGAACAGGTGGAAAATAAGGTAACTCACCAAAGGGGGGAGGGTTGGAAGAGAATGACTACGCGCTGTCAAACAACATAGAATTGGGAGGACCAATTTGTTTCTTTTGTTTTTTTTTTTTTT